ACAACATTTACGCGTCACCGACCAGCACTTAGCGCGAGAGAACGAGAACGCAGAGTGAGGCGAAGTGAGTGAAGTAGGAGACGTGGATGACGCTTTCACCACTGCCGAAGATACTGCCGTCGTCTTCGGTGGTCATGGGAGTTGGCCATGGACTTGATGGTGTCCATGGAAGGCTTGAAGGGGTGGGACAGTTGAAGTCTTCGTCGCTGTCAACTCCTGAGGAGTTGAAGGTAACAAAGCCGGGTTTGCTGCTGCCAGTGATGTTGCTGATCCATTCCTGGTACTGGGACACACGGGTGTAAACTCCAGGATATTTAGGCAATCCGCAGCCGTTACCAAAACTCACAACTCCAGTCAGGACCCAGACTGGACCATTCTTGGTAACCAGGGGCCCTCCTGAGTCTCCCTGTGGAAAGAAATAGTCGATAGTTGTTGGGATTGGTCAGGATGTAGCTTTTAGAGGAAGCATCCAGCCTGCTGAAGTGTGAATACTCAACTTATTTGTCTGACCGAATGTTTTGAGAAATTGTGTGCTCAGTCCATGGATATCCATGTTTAGCCTAGCTTAGCTCAAGGACTTGAAGCAATGGGAAACCCTACATCAAAAGGATAAAACAAATGACTTTCAACAAATACACAAAAAAGTGGTGGTCACCTGACACGAGTCCTTCCCTCCAGCACGCAACCCGGCGCAGATCATGTTGTCTGTGAGTTCTGGATAGGCGCATTTGCATTGATTGTTTCCCACTATTGGTACATCCACCTCCTGCAGGATGTCGGCAGCAGTACCTAATTGGAGACATTTCAAAGGGAAGGTACAAATCAGTACAGCTAAGAGCTTGGTGCAGTGTTTTTGTTTTCATAGGGGCAGCCCTCTAAAACCAAACTAGTTGAAAGATGAAAGTTGAGGAATCACATACTGATATAATTTATATTATGTCTCCACTGTAGTCAAACTCCCTTTTTAGAGCTTCAAATAACTAATTAAAACTGAACTTGAACTTGAAATTAAGATTATTTGGCTTCACTTTTAGAAAGCTGTCATGTCGTCCGTCTTTATATATGTCGATGACATAGACTTATACCTGTACATTTAACATTTTCCACAAAAACAATGGCATAGCATAATGGCAATGTGCTAGCTTAAAAGTGCCAGTTTTTACACATCTGTGTGCTAATGGAACACCTAATACTTTCTTATTCATCGTTTAGTATGACAAAAACATGCTGCAGTGTTTGTCTTTGATCATCTTTGAGCTTACCGTTGTCAGTCCTACCCCAACCAGTGACCCAGCTGGTGACCCCGGTGTAGAATTCGCTGTCTTCTGAGGCTAAGCAGACCGGATATATGTAGTCGGTAAAGTTCACAGGGGCAGACAGCTTCAGAAGACATATGTCGTTGTCTTTGGTAATCTCATCGTATCCACGATGGCACATAGTCTGAACGACTGTCCGAGACACTTCATTTGGGTTTGGACCTGACTGGCTTTGGCGTCCCAGAAAAGCTGTTATCTCGCCGTCGTCCCTTTTTGAAAACAAAGAAGTAAAATAGTTCAATTTTCAGTGTTAAGTTAATCCTTTAGCCCCCAATTACACCAGGGGCCAGATGTATTAACTAAAAAAGGTGTTTCTGCATCTATTTATGCATAATTATGCGAGTGGAAATGTAGCTTGTGCATGTGTGCCCGTTTCCACAATGATTTTGATTCATAAAAGTAAGAACAGCTTCATAAATCTGGGAAAAAGAATGCACATTTCTGTCTACACACAGTTTTAGTTGTGAATCTACACAGAGATGCACATGGCTCCTGGTATGAACATCTGTAGCTAGCTACGTTATCTGGAAAATTAGTCTGATCCACTGGCCTTTTACATCTTGTATGAACGTGTTTTTTTCCAGATACAGCTTACATGATTACAAACCAACACACATTAAGTTTATAAAAGAAAACTTCCAACAGTGGTCCCCTTACTCTGATATGCAGTGAGCGGCTGTCAGCACCCACAGGTCGGAAATTAGGGATCCTCCGCAGAATTGACCAAAAGCAGTGTTTAAACTGGCTTGCCAGGGCCAACTTCCTGGAGGTGCATCTTGACCTCCCACAATTCTGGTGTTTATTGTCACCATACCACATGCTGATCGAAGAAAAGATAATTAAACACAGAGAATGTGCAACAAAACCTTATAAATAAAAAATATGTCACATTTTGTTGCTATAACTACTACTACTATTTAACACTTTGGTTTTTAGCTCGGACATATTGGAGGTTTCAGAGGAAGCTCAGTTTTCCAGTTGGACTGTACGACTTGGATGTGGATGTAAACGGTGTCTACAAGGTGGAAACTTTAAGTAATTAAGTAAACTCCCATATGATGGGAACGCAACACAAGAACGTCACACTACTTCCTCCTTCAGAGAGTTTGCTTGTCAGGAAGATGTGCACTCAAGTTATTAAGCATTTCAATAAATTAACAATGCTTTTCCCGGTTTTTCCGGTCAGACAAGCTGAGCACACCTTGAACTTTACATTTTGCTTTATAAATATAAAAATATGCATGTATGGTATTTTTATATTACTAGAAAATAAGAGTTCTTTACCATACAACAAGGTGAGTTTGTCAGTTTTATGATCTCAGATGGTTGTCAGAAGTGAATTTAACATCACATTTATCTGCCTAAAGGCGGATTTGTTATTGCATTGTATGTTCTGAGGTCAACTTGGAAGAACTACCAGTAAAGACATTGCTGTTGGTTGGGACTATGACTGATAGTTATATTATAGAATAGATAGATAATTATTGAATGATACATAAGGTCGGAAATTTCTGGTAAAGGTTTTAACATTATTTAAAGTTTCCACAGAACCAAAAAGAAAAACCTAGCTGATTTCTTATTTATTGGTCTGAAAGCTGATTTATCAACATGAATTAAAACACTTATTTTCACCCAACTATATAAAATATAACATAACACTTACATATGATAAAAACAATATAATAATATGTTTTGTTGACAGGAAGTTAGAAAGTAAAACAATAGAGTCAAAGCAACAATGGAGTTGTTGCACAATGTCAGTACTTTATATATATTTATACTAGCTATTGTCTATTTGGCTCAGAAGAAGGAGTAAAAACTTGAAGAACTTGTAGAGTTGTATTCTTACTTGCCGATTGTGATTGACAACCTGAAAGTTAGAACAAACAAAAAGAATTAGGGTGGGGCAGATTATGACATTTGACAGAACATACAAAACCAAAAGAAATATGTGACCTTGAACCATCATTGTTTTATATTGTTCAACCAATTCTTCTTTTATTGTCTAGGTCACATTTTTTTTTTTTTATCTCTTTGTGTAACAAGATCTGCACCAAGATCTCAGATCCACGATTTTGTTGATTTTGACGGTACATATTTACTTCTGCGTGCCTTATAAGATAACTCGATAAGATAACATTTTTCTCAAAAGAACTCAAAAACCTGTTTAATGAACCTGTGATGCATTTACACGCAAGGACACTGTGGGTTAAAAAGAGAATTTAGCTACAACATGGACTAGTTTAACATTTTGGGATTGGTGCCTAAATTGTTAAGAACCTGTGGGACTTTTTGCACCTTTATTATTTAAATGACGGGAAGTTCCTTTTTGAATATCACTGCAATGAAATATGTTTATGTTTATGTCTGTGAACATAGTGCTATTGAAAGGCATCAATCTGCTGCCCCATCAGGCTTTTATTTTTAATTAAATATGACAATATCATACAAATAGAAAATAAATGGAAGATAAATAGAAGACATTTTAGTAACTTTAACTGGCTAGCTGATTCATTTTTTTAAATAAACTATATTATTTAATTAAGTATTTGCTCTGTAATTTGAAATTAAAGATCAGCCTACAGTTTCTACTGTTTTAACCTAGTCATGAAGCACCAGGTCTCCTAGAAAGTACGTTTGCATGTTACTAAATTGTTAAGAAGTATCATTCCTCCCCTTCGTTAATTATTCATTATTGTTAGAGAATAGACCAGAAATGAATAGAGAAATACATGAGACACTTTAATTACTTTAATTGGCCAGCTTTTATATGTACTTAAGTGTTTTTTTCTTATAAAATATATATTTTTAGACAAAGTATTTGCTCTGTAATTTTAAATTAAAGCTTATCCTACAATTTCTGCTATTTTGACCCAGTCAGTAGAGTTGCTTTGAGCCATTTTCTCCCATCATGCAGCAAAGCTTTTTGAAAGAGAAAATATTCATGTTCATCACTTCAGCCTAAAACAGTCTTATGCGTCCTCCATATATGATATGAGCCAAGTACTAAGAAACATTTGCTATTTTGTGAAGAAGAATCAAACGGTGTCTCTTACCTTTGCATGAGAGAAGGATCATCACCATCAGACCAGACAGAAGCTGGTAGAGAGCCATTTTACTCTTTTACTTCACACTTCTGCCTCCTTCAGTCAGTTTGTCCCCAACTTTAAATACCTTTTTACTTTATACTCAGCTCCACCCACATTTGAAACCTTTCCACGAAAAGAGGCGTAATTCTTTCTTTTTATTGCCGACCTCTACACATTGTGTAACTCAAGCTTAAAGATGAGCATCAAGTCAAACATGTTTGTCTTGATGCCTGCCTTTTGTCTGCAGCTCATATCTACTGTACGATTGTACCCTAGAAGAATGCATTTGTCTAATATATTGTGTAAGAGGTAAAAACAAATTTCTCAGTAAAGCTCGTGATGATGGTTAAGGACAACAAGACTCCTACGCCGTGTACACGTGTCCTCCGTGGCCAGGGAAAAGACCACGTATCTGCAAATCTGGTGATTTTAAATTTGACCTTTTCAGACAGACAGAGAATGATTAAGTGTTCTTTCATGGGTGGAGACAACTATTCAACTTCCTAAACTGTATAAGCGATATAAACCCTCTTGGATTAGCTGGAAAATGCATCGTCACAAAGCTGAAAAAGGGTTAAAGTTGACTTATCAAACACATGGTTCTTGCAAGATAACAACACATATATGCATATATATACATAACACACACAATACAGCTGTGATATTGATCATGTTGAAGATCATATATAACAGTGACATGGAGGATTTCACTGAGTACTGATATAAATCATATACATTATGAGCACTGACAGGTGAAGTGAATAAAACTGGTTATCTGGTTATCATGGCTCCTGTCAGTGGGTGGTATATGTCAGGCAGCGAGTGAACATTTTGTCCTCAAAGTTGATGTGTTAGAAGCAGGAAAAATAGGCAGCGTGAGGATTTGAGCGACTTTGACGGAGCAGACTGGGTCGGAGCACCTCCAAACCTGCAGCTCTTGTGGGGTGTTCCCAGTTTGCAGAGGTCAGTACCTATCAAAAATGGTCTAAGCAAGGAAAGGTGGGTGAACCTGGAGGCCAAGGCTCATTGAAGGCTGGCCCGTGTGGTCCGATCCACCAGAGGAGCTAATGTAGCTCAAACTGCTGAAACAGTTCATGCTGGTTCTGATAGAAAGGCAGCTCGGTTTATATTTTT